TCGAGAGCCCATTGAGGCTGGTCCTGCTAGTCCTCCATCTGCACATGGAGCAGCAAGAGTTGAAGTGGTTTGGTGTGTGCAAAGTTGTCTAGTGCTGTTCCCTTGGCTCCTTGGCAGGAGGCCTAGAGATCTCATCCAAGCTCGTCCCTGCTCCAGCTTTCCAGAGGGGGAAACTACAAGCCAAAAGGCTCACTTGTTTGCGATGTCCTGGAGCCAACACTTGGCCCCAACATGTTGGCCTCTAGATGGCTCTTCAAATATCAGAAGACAGAGCTCGATACTGAGATGGGCAGGACATGTGGACACTGGGGCCTGGAGCAGAGCTGTGGCTTGCCCAGGGCCACACGCAAGATTGGTGGTAGGTCAAGGCATGAGGCCAGGTCCCTGCCACCCACTCCTGAATTATCATAAGGGCCCCCTCATCCTTCTGGCAAGGGATTACTCCAGTTTCTGAGGTGGGAAAGCCAAGACATGCACAAACTGGGAAATCAAATTATATTCTAGGCCTGGGGCTGCTGCCTTGGCCATGTCCAGGCTTCTCCATCACTCCAGAGAAACATCTGTACCGTGACCTCCAGGGCCCAGCCTCGAGGCCCACTCAGGTGAGGCCCGCTGGCATACCAACTGAATGAAGCACAGTGGAGGCGCCCGGGCTGGGAGGCAGGGACCTGGGCTCTGATCCGACATCCACAATGGGTTTATGTGTGACTTTGGACAAGACCCTTCTCTCTGGGCTTCAGCTCCATCTACCCCAAGAACATGGGTTTTATCACATCTGCTGTCCCTCCCAGCTCTCAGCTTTCTCTCAGGTGGCAGAGAGAGGCCACTGGGGAGGTTCTCTAGATTGAATTGTGTCCCAACTCATATGGTGAAGACTTAATACACATAATGACTGTATCTGGAGATAAAGTCTTTAAGAGGTAATTAAGGTTACATAAGGTCATAAGCGGGGGGCCCAATTCTGAAAGGACTGTGTACAAGCCAGGAAGACGGTCCTCACCAGAACCCAACTATGCTGGCACCCTGATCTCAGACTTCCAGCCTCCAGAACTATAAGAAAATACCCAGTTTATGGTATTTTGTCATGGCAGCCTGAGCTGACTAATACAGAGGCCAGGACTCAGATGGACAGGATAGGAGTGAAAAAGGTAGGCTGGGGAGATACCAGCCAGCAGCGAGGGCTGTCAAGTCAACCACTTCCTTCCTGGGTGACTTGAGCCAGCTCTCTAACCTCTGAGTTTTAGTTTTTGCATCTGCAAAATAAAGCTAACAGGGTTTTTACATGGATTTCAATCAACTAATGCTTGAAAAGCAATTAGCACAGTGCCTGGCCTATAACAGCTCTCAGGACACAGTTACCATCACAATTATTAATAAGGACAAACTGTTAAGAGCATCTTCAGCACCCAGTGGGCCCGGTGACGCCTCCTCCCAGTGTGCCTGCCATATAAGGGCCACCAGACACTGTATGACCTTAGGCCCTTCTCCTCAGTAGGAAACGTAAAACTAGATGATTCAATTGCCTCAACGTTCATTTTCTTTATTTATTTAAGAAACATTTAAATAGAGTTCCCCATGTGCCAGGCACTGTTCTAACCTACTGGCTCCTCTCATTCTCAGCTAACAACGCTGTGAGGTGAGTTCTGGTATTATCTCCATTTTACGGATGAGGAAACTGAGGCAATGCGAAGCGAAATAACTTGTCCAAAGTCCAATGGGTACAAAAAAGTGGAATCAAGATTTGATGCAGGCATCCTGGCTCTTAGCGGTGATGCACCTAGACTGGGAGAGAGAAGTCTGCCCGCCTGCACCCACAGCAACCCCGTGTCATTCACTCTTGACCTTCAGCGTCCAGAACAGAGTCGGAACCAAGGTGCTGGTGCATACGCAGGAAGATGAGAGGCTCCTCGCTTCTCTGGCTGCTGCTACCTCCACAGGAATATCTGAAGCTAGGGCCCCCCTGCTAAGGTCTGGCTCCCTCCTGGAAGGGGAGCATGCCTACCCTATCCCAGCAACAAAAGGCTGAGTTCATAGAGGCCCCAGGACCAACAGGTCTGAGACGTTACCAGGCGACAGCTATGCCTGTGAGGAAGGAGACTATTCCTGCCAGCCAGCCAACAACAGGACGGACGTGCTGTGGGTGGGGAGCTCCCTGGCACCGAGGCGCAGGCTGGCCGACAGTCCGGCAAGAATGGCATGTGACAAAGTGAGACGGCAAGAGCACCGGGGTTTGAAGTCGAATCGTCCCAGGGCCTCCTCTTGGCACTGCCCCTCTTGAGTTGTGGGTTCCCCCACAAAGGACTTCACATACACACTCATCCCCCCTATGAATCTCAGTCTTCACCCCTCGGTGCTGTGATGCAGAAACAAGGCAAGTCTGCAACATTTCCCCAGGGGAAATGTTCTGTAGGTATCTACGGTCTTGTGGAGGGGAGGGGAGGCGAGTGAGCACAGGATGCAGGGGAAGGGTCTCACATGGTGCAGACTTTAGTACAGGGGCTGTGGAGGTCGACCGACAGGAGTGCAAATTCCAACTCCATAACACTTCCCAGTCGGTGACCCTGAGCGAGCCCCTGACCCTCTCAGAGCCTGTTTCTACATCATGAAGTGGGGACCCCCACAACTACTCAAAAGGCCTGGTGAGGATCAAATGCAAACATGCAAATCCAGGACTTCGTCTACAGTGGCTCATAGAGAAGATCATGCTGGTAAAAACTGGTGACATTAAGTGGCTGAAATTCTCATTCCCTAGCTGAGCCCACACAGGTACTAAAGGCCAGCCAGTCCTGCTGGCCCTGAGGTTTACTAGGCACAGAGATGGTGTCAGGCCCTCACTGCCAACCCAGCAAGAATGCAGCCCACAAGTCTGGGGGTGGGTGGGGTGCCGGGCAGGCAGCTGAGGACTGTCCCTGGCCTGGCGCTTGCTGGTCCCACCCTGGCCTCCCTAAGCACAGGGCAGATATGCTGCCCGGACCAGCGCAGGGGCCCACCGGAGTGGAGGTGTCTAACCTGCCACTGTTCCCACAGCTGAGGCCACGGGGAGGGGAAGGGAGGGGCCAGAACGGGCCCTGCCCAGAATACCCTCACCCCTCTTTCTTCACTGCCTTCGTTCTGAAGCTCAGCCTGCATCCTCTGAGCACTTGGCTATGCCATCTGAACAGCCTTAGCATCCCTTCCTGCTCTCAAAGACCTCACAATTGTCATAATGTCCTAGTGGGTGAGAGCAGTTGTTGAGAGTCAGAAAGGCTGGGAGTCTGCACACCCTGTGACCTTGGGCAAGACTCCTCTGAGCCTCAGTTTCCTTGTCTGTTAAAGGGGAACTATGATCGCTGCCAGGGCAGGGGTGGGAGAGGAGCCGGGGAGCGGGCACAGGGTGGATTTCCAGGGACGGCAGCCGCCATGATAAGGATGACGTCCCCATCTCTGGGAAGCTTTCTCTGCTCCCCTGAGATGGCGTGAAGCCCTCTCTCTGAATGGCCTTCTGCCTTGCACAGGTGACGCTTACGCTGGGAGCCAGCCATCCTCTCGCCCATGGGCACAATGGCACATGACATCCATTCCCTTAAATGTACCACCCCTGAGCCCCTGCTGCGCCAAGGACACAGGCAACTACTCTTCCCTGGCTTCACGCTTTAGATTTACAAGCCCAAATGTTGCTTTTCTCGGATGCTTTGCATTTAATTAGGTGTCCTAATAACAATGGAATCGCAGAAGTACTTATATCACTTTGAATTAGTGGTGCAGCTCCTTCTAACTTCTTTAAGAATTTTTTTTTCATATATCATATTTTAAAATAGAGCTCATTATTTTAATTATATCCATTTAAATGTACAGTGGAGCCCTTGGATATTCTCAGCACGAATCATTAGGTATATTAGTGAAAAGCACTCGGAATCCATCTACATGCTGACACTCCACAATCTATTCTATTTGTGTCACTGTAAAATAGATTTATATATAGATAACTAGAAAATAGTTGCTCGAGATATGCTATGAATTTTATATTTAACCCGAGTCACACTTCAGCATAAAATCTAAAGTTGGGCACTAAAAGAATAAATCTCAGTGAGTACATACTGTCTGCGGTCGCTGGCTACTGCTCATGCCAGAATGCTGGGAGAGGAGCCAGGCCAAGTGGGTCCCGGCCCAAGGAATTCCCTAAGAGCTCTGGCCTTTCACTAAGGTAATGGTTCTCAAAGTGTGCTCCTTGAAGGCCTAAGGGTTCCACAGGAGTGGCCTCAAAGCACCCATGAGGCCTGAATAAGGAGGGTGGTGCTGAATAGGGCTTCAAAGAACCCTACACTTTGTCTTTGAGTTGCACAGCTCTGCTTTCAGCCTGATGTGTGTGTGAGTGTGTGCATATATATACACATATAGTGCATATATACATGTATGCACATGTGTGTATATATACACATCTAAATAAATAAATTATATAGAGAGGCTTCTTTCTCGATGTAGTGGGGTAAATGGTGCCCCCACCCCACCATGTCCTAGTCCCCAGAACCTTTGAATGAGACCTATATGGGCAAAGGCT